GTCCTCCTTTTCCAGGACATGGCCTCTCTTTCAACCTTCTGTCCAGGTGGTCCTCCATTTTGAGCAGGACTAAGAGAACCAGCATGGTGGAGTGGTTCAAGTGTTGGACTACGACTCTGGAGACCAGGGTTCAATTCCCCGCTCGACCATGGAAACCACTGGGTCACCTTGGACAAATCACACTCTCTCAGCCTCATTACAAACGCCCTCTGGACAATTCTTGCCAAGAAAACTCCCCATGATAGATTTGCCTTAGAATCGCCATAAGTTGGAAATGATGTGATGGCAGTGACAAAAGGGCGGTATCCACACTGCAGGAGTACTCCGATTTAACCCCACTTGAACTGCCAGGGCTCCATGGTATGGAAGTCTGGGAACAGAAGCCACAACAAACTACAGTTCCCAGAATTCCATAGTGTGGAGCGATGGCAGTGAAAATGGTGTCAAATTGGATTATTTCTTCAGTGTGGATGTGACGTTGTTGTTATTACTGTGAGTTGCCTTCGAATCGACCTCAACTCACTGTGACCCTGTGAATGACACATCTCCACGGTCCCTTATACTCTATGTCTCTGCTCAGGCCTGTGGTCCCCGACTGAGTCTATCCATCTGTCATTAGTCTTCCTCTCTTTCTTCTTCCCTCCACCTTTCCTAGCATCATTGTCTTTTCTAATAATTTATGCCTTCTCATGATGTGGCCAAAGTATGACAGCCTCAGTTTTAAAAAAGAGGTTTGTAGCATGAGCTTTCATAGACTTTAGCAGACTTTAATCAAATTGGAATTTAATCAAAGTCTACGAAAGCTCATGCTGCAAATCACTTTTTCCCCCAGTTAGGTCTTTTGCAGAATGATAGAAATAGTGCAAATTGAGTCCACTTTAACTGTCCTGGCTCAGTGCTAGGGAATCATGGGAATTGTATTTTTTTCCTGAGACATTGAGCCTTCTCTGTCAGAGAGCTCTGGTGCCACAATAAATTACAGTTCCCATGATTCCCTAGCACTGAGCCAGGGCAGTTAAAGTGGACTCAATTTGCACTATTTCTGGCAGTCTGCAAAGGCCGTTAGTCTCAAAGATGCTACAAAGTCTCTATACATATTAATTCTACAGACTAACACGGCTATATCTTTAAATTCAGCCTCAATCTAGTCATCTTAGCTTCCAGGAAGATTTCAGGCTTGATCTGTTCGAGGGCCCATTTGTTTGTTTGATTTTGGCCATCCGCAGTACCCTCAGCACTCTTCTCCAGTACCACTTGTCAAAGGAGTTTATTTTCTTCCTATCATCTTTCTCAACTGTCCAGCTCTCACATCCGTACATGGTACCAAATCTAATAAGCATGAGTGTATATTTCAGTTAGGGTTTTTAGCTTTTATTTTGTCATGGCCTCCATTTTTTTTGCAATGCCTTGTCCTTCTTTGCAGTTAGGACAACATCTGGTCACCCTGAGCAGAGAGGTCCTCCCGATCCTCCAGCTGCATGGTTGGTTGTGAAAAGCTGCAGGCACCCTAGAAGGATGGAGGTGCCTTAGGACTGACCTCTTGTCTCATCAGGTGTATAGGCAGAGTTGCCCTTAGCTGAAATGCTTGGGACCAGAGATGTCTTGGATATTATTATTATTATGGATTTTGGAATACTTATATTTGTATATGTGTACATGATGAGCCACATGTTGTGGTTTGAGTGTTGGACTACAACTCTAGAGATCAGGGTTTGCTTCCCTGCTCAGCTATAAAAACCCAGTGGGTCAACTTGGGCAAATCACCTTCTCTCATCCTCAGAGGATGGCACTGGCAAACCCCCTTGGAAGAAGTTTGCTAAGAAAATCCTATGACAGGTTCACCTTTGGGCAAGTCACACTCTCTCAGCCTCAGAGGACAGCAATGGCACCCCCCCCCCCCCGAAGAAACTTGCCAGGCAAACCCTGTGATTGGTTCGCGTTAGGGTCTTGAAGGCATATGACAACAAGAATAAAGCAACATAATGAGGTATCTTGGAGATGGTACCTAAGTCTAAACACAACATTCATTTATGCAAAGGGATCTTGTTGCACCTTTGAGACTAACCGAAAGAGAGAAGTTGAGAGCATGAGCTGTGGTAGACTTGAACCCTCTGAAGCATCTGAGGAAGTAGGTTCAAGTCTATGAAAGCTCATGCTACCAACTTCTCTCTTTCCGTTAGTCTCAAAAGTACTACAAAATCCCTTTGCATAATGATTTTCCAGACTCGCACGCCTACGTCTTGGAACATTTATTTATGTTTCATATCCACCTTATACACATAGCCTGGAGGTAATAGTTTACAGTATTGTTAATAACTTTCTTCATGGGACAAAGTTTGTGTACACTGAACTGTCAGAAAGCAAAGGTGTCACTATCTCAACCACCCACAAAAAAAGATTTCGTTTTTGGAATATTTCAGATTTCAAAATTCTGGATAAGGAAGAGTCAACATGTATAAGGAAGAGTATTTCACCAACCTTGTCTTAGGTGAATGTGCAAAAGGATCTTGTAGCACCTTTGAGACTAAGGGCCTGAACAGACTGCCAGAAATAATCCAATTTGAGACCACTTTAACTGCCCTGGTTCAGTGATGCGGAATCATGGGAATTGTAGTTTATTGTGGCACCACAGCTTTCTGACAGAGAAGGCTCAATTTCTCAGAAGAACAA